TAGCTACGGTTCTCTGATCGCCTTTACCATGACTATGGTCATGCATATGTGCGGGATGAAGATCCTTGCGTTTCGATTTCGAATTACTTGATGTTCTGTACTTTCTACTTGATTGAGTCATGGCGAGAGACTTCTCATAATGCGGGAGCCCCATAGTCGGAGATTACAACAAGAAGCTGTTAACTGTTCGATTAACTTAAGCTGGACAAGCTTAACCAAAGGGCAACTATGTCTGTGAAAGCGACCCGAGTTCAAGTTAGAACTTAGCTCACCGTCAGCCAACTTGGTAAACTAACGTAACGCTATCGTCCACAGACAGTTATGCAGGTATGGGCTAAAATAAACACGCCCTATCAGCTTTCTGTGGCGGGCCGTCAAGTTGTCTAATTACGTTCACTCAGCTGTTGAACCCTGCCAATAAGATTACAGCACCATGTGTCAATGGATACTTCAAATTTAATTAATAGTTTGCCTTATCTGCAGTAATTGGCAATAAATGTGATATTTACAAACAGCTTCGGCCCGACAAGGTGAGAAACACAGGACTTAAAACGAGCCGGCCTTGGGTGATGAAAATGACTCAAAGAGAAAACGGAACTTGCTTTAACAAACACTTTACAACTTTCATAAAAAGCTCCCGCACAGTGCTTCCATTTTAAAGTGCGTATAATTCCTTGAAGACAAATTATTCCTCTCTTGAAAAAGTCTTTTTATTAAAATACTTTCTTTGCTCTGAGTTGGTTTTTAAATTTTAACTCCGAGGTGCGCGCTTCGTTTCCGGAAATAGACTCTTTGTCAACAGCGGGAGTCAGTGCTTGAAGTTTGCCGAAGAATTTTGTGAGCCTTCAAATAGCTGATAGATATATCTGTATCGATTACTAGGTCAAGAACAAATGCCCCCTGCAAAAGTCTACATGAAGAGGAGAGACACAGTGTAGTGGTTTTGTGAATATTAAAAAGAGAACTCTCCAGTGAATGTATATTGATAAGCCTGACAAACTGAGGTACCGGACTGTGTTCAATAGGCCGTGATGACAGAATGGTCCTGACCGCCGCTGATATGCGGGAACTTTTCCGATTGCCGGTGTTCAGTGGTCAGGAGTAGAATTACACTGCATTTCACGAGCAATTCATGGTCTCGTTACAAACTCTTCAGAGAAATTAACACACTCAAGGGCATGCGTACATAACATCTTATAACACAATGGGATGTAATAAAGTATTCATTGCCTGCTCTTGAATTGCGTTTTGCGGCAATCGAGTGCATTTGGAAAACGCTTTAGTATCTAAAATACACAGGCTTTGTTTGATCTACATGTATGGAATTCAAGCTAGATGCTATCTTTAAGCTCCTCAATTTGAGTGTACTGCATTCAACAGTGACATTGTATACGAAGATGAGATATGTATTACACCTTTCACAAGGTTGCTACATGGAGTTTGATGAAGCCACCAGATAAACCGAACCTGCCACACTGAACAGTAACCAGGGGCCGACGAACAAGTGAAGTGAAGTTTGTTTTGTCTAATTCATACAAAGAACCATGAGGCAGCTGTTTTAGTAATTAAGGAAAGAATGCCTTGTTACACAAACAAACCATAGAATTATCACAGGTAGATAATAACTACATTGATAATGTCAATTCTTCAATTTTCGAAAATATCTTTTAGCATTCTGATCAAATGAAGCGAAAGAAAACGTTCGGATATCAGATAAATCGCTAAGACCTTCGTATTTTAGACAGCCGGTGACATCAAAAGTAACTCTAAAAGTGAATTCTTCTTTGGTGGTGGTCATCATTAATGACCAACCAGCTAACATAAACATACTGCGCTTTTTCAACTAACTGTCCGAAGACAAAGGACGGCAGCAATGAGACAAATAAAGAAAATGGTGTCAACGAAATATCTAGTCATTCTACAATTATCATCTTTACCTGATTAGTACATTAAAACTGGCGATTCCTCGGCCTATCCTCCTGTTAGCTTTCTTACTTTTTCTTTACTTTTCAGTGTAATCAAATGTGAGTGAGTGCGTTTAGACAACAAACACTCCAGCAAAATGTAAATATAGCATCTTGGAACCTTCTGAAGAAGAGAGATGTGTTCGAGAAAGTTCGAAAACTTGTGGGTTGTGCGGAATCACGCAGTTAAGTTTGACTCAAAGTAAAGATAAGAGATAAGTTTTGGTTGCAACCATGAATGTAAAGAAAGTTTCGAAAAACCAAGGATTAAAAAAAAAATCAAGACTCCACCGGATACAGTAGAGATAGAATACGAACAGATTGCTGCTGAATAAAACGAAATTAAAACATCGATAAAAAAAGAAAGTTCTCTTAGAACTTTGGTTTCCCTTCCAGACCGAGAAGTTTGAACTAAAAAAGGCCCGAACAAAGTACAGTAGGGTATCGTTTTCCGGATCTTCCGCCTTTTGTAACAGTGTCCCATACTGTCTTATACTGTGAAAATGTTTGGAGATGTTTTTAGATCAGTTTACGGGTTTTGTTTCGCAATTCGTTAAGGAGGCGAATTGAGTTTTTAATTTCAACATAACTTAAAGCTCACCGTAGGAAAGTCTTCTTTTCGTCTCATAAAGTCGTAAATCAACCGGCTAGTCGAAGTTGTAGAAGCGTGAGGTAAAATGTAGCTACGCGCTTAAAGGAAACAAGAAAGATTACCTCGTAAGCTACCACGGCGCCGATCTATAGTATAGTGGTGTTAACAGTATCCATTACACGGACACTAAGACGAAGACATTCCTTTAATTTTTAAAAATTACATTGAGAAAAAACTTTTGCTTGGCAACTGATTTTCCTAAGTAGAAAAAAGTAGAGTGCAATTCTTAAGCAAAGTAAAGCTAATTTGCAGCTTGGAGATTTTTTTCCTGCTCATTAAATTTGACTGCTTTCTGGGTTGCTGCTGTGGAAAGAAGTTTGTTGTGAAGAGGCTAAGAAAAATGTGAATGAATGGACCGTCCACCGGAAGTAAAAATACTGGTCATAGTTAGGAAATGGTGGTTGTGTACAGAGGTGGCTGTAAGTGAAGGGTCGACGGTAGCAAAGTTGGCTCAGTCTAAAACGGATAAACGTAACTTCTATTCGATAAGTTTTCCTCACATCGCAACAATCTTAAGAAAATACAAAACATAACTACAATTGAGACAACCTGATTCATAAACTACCAGCATCTCGTCAACAACCATCACAACCATACTAAGGAATCGGAGACAACATAAGAAGATCAAACGAACCGAATACAAAGACTTAATTAACGCTACCGACGGATCAAAAACCGACTTACATCACTGTAACGTCAAGTGACTTGAATTTTGCACCTGATGACATCACGGTAAAACTGACCAGTCAGATTTCACAAACAAGACTTAACGACTCGATAGACCAACAACTCCTCAACTCAGTCGAACTTGTATCAAGCGGCACCGTAGTAAGCGGTCACTCTGTATTTAGCGGTCAGTTGTCAAAGTCCAGAAATTGTCTGCCTTTAACCACTGTCATTTTCACTTCTATCAAGCGGTCGCGGTCACCTTTTACTTAGTCCCAACGGTCTGTTTTTATTGTTCTCCGTCATTATTGAACGGTCACTGAAAGCGGAACCACTCAAATAAAACTAAGAATAATCTACTAAGTAATATTTAGTCCATGTTTCTCTCCCAAAATCAAATAAAGTAATATTTTCGAGCGAGATTCTACACATTAAGTGTTCGATTATGGCATAGAGTACAGTTTTTTATCGTTTTTTTATGATACCCCTATCTATAGAACGTACACTAAGCAGTCAACCTGTATTAAGCGGTCACCATGCTATCGTGATCGTTTAATGACTTTTCATCAATTAAATAATTTTTTATCATTTTATCCCGACTGTCTAGATACGCTCTCCATTAATTACTTTGATGCCATCAGTAAAAAAATAAAGCAGTTTATAACATGATATTCATCTGCTTTTCAGTTTATAGCGACTTAGAAAGTTTCTTTAAGGAGTTTTGGTTTGAATTAAGTCGACATTCCAAGCGTTATACTTACAGGGAAGAACCCTGTGTGAAAAATAACTAGGATTTCTTGTAATTCTTAACGTTGGTGGCTGGCTGAGGTACTGCAAATTTCATTTGTTACTTTTGCCGGCTAAGTTATTTGGAAAACTTAAAAGTAAGCTGTGATAGTAGCATCAAAGAAAATCGGCAAACATAAAAAACCAATGAATTTGTATACTCTTCCGTATTCCTCTTCACTTACAGACAGTGTGAAGTGCAAGTGCTAATGTTAGAGGACTGAAATATGACCACCGCATTGCTCCAAGCCCAAAATTCGATTATGAATATATTGCGATTCGTTTAATAGTTCATTTCTGATACAAAGTAAACAGCACTGCCCGTGCTTTAAACCCAGTGATCACCAAAGAGCCAGTTGATGATGACCTGCACTGAGATGGATTCCTCCAGATTGCCGCTAAAACCAGACCATTCCTCAACACAGCAGCATGAGACAGGGCTGCGATGATAATTGAACAAGCCATGGAGACATAAAACCGTGGCTATCACTGGAAAAGTGCATAGGTCCTATAGTGATGAGAGTATCGAATGCTATAGAAGATGAAGCTGGGCGAGTTGGTACATAGTTAATGATATTCAACCGAGCGAAAAGATCAGCCTGGTGAAGAAAGTTGCTGACCCACCCAGTCGGAGCTAATTCAAGTTTCCTTAGCATGAAGTCGCTAGGAGTATCGCCCCTCCCCCTAGGATGGAATGCCAGGCCCTCGCAAGGTTCGACTAACATTTCACCAAGCTTTCCTGGTAATTCGTCGTTACTCATTCATACCCTTGGATGGAGAAAGGCACTGTGGGAGCGAGGTCTATTTCCCAAGAATACAACACATTTACCCAACCAGGTATCATTCCCAGACCTCTCGACCTCAAGTCCATCGCAGTGAACATTTGGCCGTCGCGTCTCGCACGTCCCACACAGTATCAACGATAAAACTTCTCAATTACAAAACTACTTTGTTTTTTCTTCCAGTATTTATCTAACATCGCCTTGTGTGATAATTTTCGTGTTTAAATGTATGTCTCTTCACTTGCAAAGCGTTTGAGGTAACCACTTGTTTCACAATAGTCGTTAGACATGAAATACTCGGTTACAAACGCTTCACTGAGTGAAATAATAAGTGAGATAACAAGCGTACGTCTTCAGCTAAATCTAAATTTTCACTTTACAAAGAGACTCTCTCTCTCCCTAAGTGCAAAATATAAATATTTTTAAACAAAACTTAATTACCAGATAAGAGTACACGCTATCTCTGTTTACGTAATTTACAAATCAGCACTTGACATGGAATCTTAAACCACTAAAGCACTTAAGAATACAAAAATTGGGTTGTGCTAATCAGTCAAATATATTAAGGGTGGAATATTTGTTATTTCATATACCATCAAAAATACTTTAAGTCTGAAGTCTCGAGTGGTGTACCACTGGCACCGATTAAATCTTCTTGATTTGAGAACTTGTTCAAGTGGTGCAACCTCGATGAGATTGATGTTGAACACACGACTGGGTAAACTCATGGTTTAGCGAACATTACAAATTCAGTGTAAGAGCTTCACAGAAAGATTGACCATTTACGAGTTTTGAGTATGAAACGAAACCTTCACAATAGTTTGAAAGTACACGCTCCTTATTTTAGACAATAAGCACTAACAAATACGGAAAGTAAACGCGAGGACTACCCTTTGCAAAGTAATCTCAGTTTTTGCTTGCTGTTTATCCATCCTTCAGTAGTCTGGCATCTCGGATTGAAAGGCGGCAGGTAATGAATTATTTTCTCACTGTAGTGGTTTGTAGTTTTCAGGGGATTCTGCGGATACCAAGTTTCTAAATACTGATGGCATTAGGAACCTCCTTAGGATCCAGGTATGGATAAGGGAATGGTCGGCTCTTATTTCTCTCCGCGATAATGTCACTCACTTCCAACAAACGCTTCCTCAACCTGAAAGGTTAATAGATTGTCGAAATTTAATTACAGTGAATCTTTCTTAACTATGGTAGTTTGACATCAAATCGAGGGTGTAAATTACACAGGCTAGGTTACAATGCATACAGTAAACTTAAAGGCTGAACTCGTTGAGTGACAAAACGCCTTTGAGACTCTTTTCGGTGGGCAAATTACGTTATCAACTCAGTTGATAATACTAAATTACCCTTTTTTAAGAGCAGTACACATGAAGAGATTTGTCGCATTTAGCGACCGATTTCGCGTTGAGTCCAAATACTTTTACAGTACGACACTGAGATATCTGAATATCAAGTCGTGAAAAGTTGAGATCAAGATCAGCTAAGTTATTTTATATATTCATTTTATTTTTGGTATTACGGCAGTAAATGTCTCACTTTTCCACAGGCTTGGTTCCTCTTGGGTCGTACATGTATTGCACTTCAAAGTCACCAAGAGCGTTCGTGCCGCGATCACTGAGTATTTTTGTCACAATAATAATGTCCAGCGTCATGTCTTTCACTGGAAGGGAGTCAATGATATCCTTTTCTGTCAGAGGTTCCTAAAACATGTATACAACCCGTTAGTACAGTTCCACTTGTCGCTTTTTTTAAAAAATGTATTTAGCTACCTGTTACGCCTGCCCGCCTCTTATAAAGAGCGCTTTTCGATTAAGTGTCGTAAAATCAAAACCAAAGTGATCCTTACAGCCAGTCAGAAGGAAGGAAAATATCTTAAAAAACCAATGAGAAATCAAAGTAAAAACAAACAAATTGCCTAAAGCGCGGGAAAACACGCGTGACTAAGTCGTGATTGGTTTGCTTTAGGATCTGATTTGACCAATCACAGAGCGAAGTTAAGCAAAACCAAGGTAATCCCGGAGTACTATAGACACTCAGTTAAAACTTGATCCAAATTTGCAATCCTTGTGCTATCCTAAATTAAAAATTGGGATTGATTCTCTATGCATCTTTTCTTTGCTTCAGGTGTAACTTTCTCGGATCTCTTTCTTTTTCCGTGTTCTTAACAGTCCATTTATCTATGCCATTTAAAGAATCTTATGATTTAAAAATTACAACAAGAGTGACAAAATTAAAAACAAAAATTTTGAAAATAGGGAGAGCAACATATCTATAACATCAATAATCATCTAAGCGACCATCCCAAGGATAGAAACAGACTGAAGCCGCAAAATTACCTTGCTTGTTGGAGGTTTCCCACGTAAGAATGCAGGATAGTTTGGTGGAAAAGCATATTCATCATACTGAGCGAAATTGGCCGCAGAATGCCCCACGCTACTGATGAAGATAATTGTGGTCACTGCCTTGATCAAGTCTTCCAAATCTGTAAATTTTCCACCTCCAAAAACACCCTGTAAAACACACAAAAGCGTATCACCCTTTAAAAACCAAAAAAAGAGTTCTACAGTGCTCTTGCTGTGGCTCAATTGCAATTCAGTTATAACCTGGGAAAAGTTCTGGAATCTACGGAGAATTAGTGGTACCTTGATTCCCAAGCCATCTTCTGGGTCAGCCAACATGTGTCCCCAGTTCTGGATTTCATAATCGTCTGTCAGTTTTTCTGGTGAGTCTGAAATATTTATAAATGAGTGTAAACTGTAACCATTTTGACTAGAAATCAAGTGATTATGGAAAAACCAAAACCAAAGTTGTTACAGTGGCTGGTCAGAATAAAGGTTCACATTGTGATTAGCCTATGAGAATTCAAAGTGAAAACAAGCACACTGCTTCAAGAATGGAAAATGGCGAATGTCCAAGTTGTGATTGTTTGTAGCTGTGGATCTGATTGGTTGAGAGGATTGCATAGTTTTGTGGACCAATCACAGAACACAGTTAGGTAAAACCAAAGCAATCCCCCATATCACATTGATACCTAATCTAAAATTGCTCCAACACAGGACTTGACAATGTAGCAAAAGGAAAAATTATATCCACAAAATAGTATTTGCTCACCATAAAAAGCTTCCAAGACTTCTCGTACGTAGGTATAAATGGCTTCATGAATGAGCAATGCATCATCTCTGTAGGGGTAGTTGGGAAAAGCTTCCTTGTCATCCACCTTAAAAACAGATTAGGACATTTTGACCATCACTCACTCAACTGTGCATAAAACTCTTCACATTTCATTAGGGGAGTCACATAAATAATTACAGATTAATTTAGTTAAGTTTGATATCATAACAAGTACATAAATGCAAATGTGACAAAAGTACATGTACATACCCCTCGAGCTTCAAGATCAGAAGGAAGCCATCCATCAATATCCATTCTCCAGTTTTGCCAACTGGTAAAATTTCACAATAAAAAAAAAGGTTTAGTCATGTCAAGATTACAAAGGTTGCATAGAAGCCTCAGTGTATGAAATGATATGCAAAGGGCTTGAACACTAAATTAAGAGCATATTTATTTACCACTGACTGACAAGTTCCATCAATCCACCTGATCCAGTTGTCATGGTGTTGTCAATCCATCCATTTGGTGCAACAAGTTTGGCCAGAGCAAGGCTAATCATAAACAGCAAACACATATTCAGCCAATTACATTACTTCTCATCATCATCCCCCATAGAACCTTCTCCTCTGGCATTCCAAGGAACAAGAGAAGAAATCAGCCTTCCAAATCATGTCTTCATCCTCCAAGGCTGCTACTTTCTTCTACTGCTCTGTGTATGGGACTTATATATTTATTTCATTAACTTGTAACCCCATCCAAGGTTGACAATCTGGTTTACAAGATCTCTAGACCAGTTAAAAATTTTTAACTTTTGGACTTTTGAGGGTTGCATAGAAAAGCTGGCAGAAGACATCCTGTGACAGTTAAAGCAAGGTTTCGACAACCACTTAGTTAGTGGCCCCCAAAAGTTGTGAGAAAGAAGGGGGCCACAGGCTCAATAGTAATTGTACAAACTACTGTGTGGTGCTGTCTCTAAATAAGAATTGATCGATTAATTGAAGAAAGTATTGACAAACATCCACTGAATCAAAAACCTGTGTGCACATTAACAAAGTTCTGGTGACTTCAAGAGCTCCCCCCTTTCTCCCTTTCTACTAAGGAGAGAGGGAGAATTTTATTGGCTACATTCCACAATAAATGTTAGGTACTCACGAATTGATGGCCAGGAGATACAGAAAATGAGGAGCAAGCAGCCTGAAAACAGGATGTGATGGTGACAACTGACGATGAGTTCCCACACAAATTGTTTCAGCTACCAAATGGGTGAGTCCTATAAATGAATATGGTAAAAACAACTGCCTTAGAATTTCCATGAGATTTCTCCGATGATTGATTCCAACTTACATCTACTTAAAATTCAGAGTGTGGTCCTCCACTGTCACATTGGCTTAACTGTTAAGTTCTAAATATACCTCCTTAGCACAACGGAAGGCTGAAAAAAGGGCCAAGAACCAATTAAGATGATGCATCATAGTGACCACTCAAGGCCTGCCCCCATACCCCATCAGAGAAGCAAAGAAAAATTAAAGGATAATGGTTTATGTCTCTCCTTTCCTTTCATCAGAGTTTACGTCTTCTGTTTTAAATTCATTGCAAATATTCCTTACCAAGATGAGTGCAGGACTGATGAAAAGCTGCATCAGAATTGTTGTAGTACATCTTGGCAAGCATCCAGGTGTACTTGGGATCACTTGGCAAGAAAACCTACCATTAACAACAACAACAACCATGTCAACCTGAGTATTTATTTCATCAGTCATACTACATGTAGCTTCATGGGGTCCTAAGGCCTTATAACAAAAGCTTTTACTATGTCCATGCTTGTAATTTAGTCTCACTCTTAAGGCTCATAAGTCTCTGTCAGAATTTCATCCAATAATGACAACCTTATTTTTCATTTTTCTTTTCAGTTTTTGGGTCTCTGAGACTTAAGTAGCAAACTTATACAGACTCACTGGATTGTCTTCAGCTGGCTTCTGGAACAACTGGATTGCAATGGGCATTAGCTCGTTTCTGCCATTGACAAAGAATAAAGCCATTGGTTTGCAGATCTGAGGGAAACAAATTCATCACAATCAGTAAAACTAAGGATGCTATTCAATTTAGCTGTGTTAGTATTTCTTGTAGAGTGATGTGGTAAATACAAGAGAAAGAGTCTCCAAAGAAATCAGTAGTTTGTACTTTCCTGGATTTGTTTATTTGTTGGTTTGTTTGTTTTCTGGTATCGCTTATCGAAATAACAACCAACTACAGAGTGAATTGGCTATCATTTCTTATGGGCTGGATAGATGGATCTTTAAGTTTCTATAGTTTTAACCTAACTCACCACTCTGTTAAATCTACACATGATCTCTGTGAGTTTTTTCAGATTCACAATGTAGATCTTTTTATTCTTCATTGCCTCTTCCAATGTAATCCCTTCCAAGAATGGTTCCACCATCTCAGCTGTGACCTTGAAACTAGAAGATACCATTGTTATCATGACACAAATTGGATTTTTATTTAACAACCAACATTACAAAAGCAAATTAAAATTTTTAAATAAGTGAGTTATCTATAAAGCACTCTAAGAATAAATTCAAGACATCATTCTTCTTGGAAATATGAAAAAAGTTTTCCTCCTGATCTCTAGTTTCTAGGGATCAATTGTATCCCAGTTTTGGCTTAAAGTATTAATTGACAGCCATAAATATGGAACATATGAGTTGAACCAGTGTTCAAGGTAGTCTCACATAACCATGACTGTGGTCCAATGGCAGATATAAACTTTCAGTGAAAAGCTAGATAACATTAACTAACTAACCATTTACAAAACTCATGCCCACTGATAAACTGTCTTACTTTTCAGGGATTTCCATGCAAAGTCTGATAAGGGTTGGGTTGCATCCTTGAAGCCTCTGACGGCCAAAGTTTGAGTCTTCTTTCCAGTTAAAATAGCCCTGTAAAAAAAAAAAAAAAGAAACCATGATCAACTTGATGCCAACCTGAATTTTTCTTGATTCAGTTTCAATCCAAGGTGCATTTTCGAAAGATGTCCTTACATAAGGTAAGTTGAGGCTTCCCTTGTATAGATTGCTCATGTCATCTAATGTTTCCCAGGGATCAGAAGTTAATTTGGCCAGCTTACACTTCACAGCCAACTTGTACTTGGTCTGTTGAATATTCCACTGTAAAGAAGAAATAGCATAACTATGCTTTACAACTGGCTCCAATTCTACTCCTAAATCATAATTAATTAAAATTGTGTAGGGGATACAAGAAGTAATAACAACAGAGACATAGGAAATATTCTCTGAATTGTTTCTTAAACTATGATTCCTCGGAGTGTTTGACTATGAAAAAGCTTTAATTAAGTCAGAAAGGGAAAGGAAAAGAATCAAGCTGTATTGCAATCAGCTCCATCTCCAATATGTTTAAAAGGGATGTTAAAAGTGAATATTATTTTATTATATCATATTAAGGCTGTACTTGGCTAAGTCTGTAAATCGTTATGAATTAGTCTGTAAATCATTTTGAATTAACAGGTATCATGTACTTCTTCAGTATAATGAAAGTGAATTTTTCCATTATAGTGCTGAACCTGGGTTAGTCTGTAAATCACTGAGAATCAACGGGTGTTATGTACCTTTTCAATACAATAACAGCTAATATTATAGTCGTGTTTAATGTTTTTGTTTGATTTTCTTCTGATGTTCAGAGCTTACGTCAAACTTCAAACAATGCTCTCAATACCGAAAGAAGGCAAATGTGTCAAGTACACAGAAATATTGAGAACTGCATTGATTCAGAAGAATGAATTTAAATTCAAATGGTTGCATACTCAAAATAGCTGTTCTAGTAATTAGAAATCTCTCGCCTGAGTACAAAAAACAAGCCAGGAAAAAAATTAACCAAGAGAAATGTTTCTTCAGGTAAACAAGTTGAGTTTTTAAGTTAAGTTATTAAATTAAGCTTCCAGTTACCCTACCAAACGAATAAATAACTAAATAAATGTTCACTTGCTGATACCAATACCTTGTAGTCATTGCTAAAACTCTCGTCACGGGGACAACTTTCGATCTACAACCGAAAATAATAAGAAGTCTTACTTTTTGGTTACGTAACTTACTTAACCAACCATTTAATTACATTTAACCTAATAGCTGAGTAAAGAAACCCATAGTTACATAACTTTGGTTATCTGCGAAATAGTTTGCTAGTGTTTAAGATCAGTTGCGTAATGGCGATTGTAAATGCCCCAAAACTTGCCACGAAATTGCAAGCCAGCGATAAAGAGTCTTCATTCTTGAGGACTAACAGAGTACAATAAAATAAAACAGATTTCCACAGCAACATTAATTGAGACTGTACCACTAACCTGTTTAGGAATGCCTGGAGCTTTACGCGATAATCGATAAACGTCTCTCTTATCCTCTAATTCTTTCTTCCGTTGTTCTTTGCATTCGTCAAACTGTGGCAGTACACAGTCATATTCTGTCAAAACTAACTTTCGTTCTGCTTTCACCCATCGGTTACAGGGAAAGATCACCTCGTCGGACCCAGGATGAAGATTCTTCACTTTAATCCATTCCACATACCAGTCGTCACCGATACCACTGTCGTCCCTCCAGATTTCAATTTTATGCAAACGACCAGGTGGCAAGCCGCAGTGAACTTTAAATCGGTCCACGGAACCCTTCTCAAAATCGTTCTTCCATTTACAGTCGAGGTTCAAGTCACGCGAACGAGTGCCATCTTCGTTGTACAGAGCGCTGAAAACATTAGCGTCTGTTCCTGCTCCTTTCACATCACCGGTCTTCACGATTATTTCACAGTCAGGAGGTAAACCGCTGCATGAGTTTCCCATGTTGATGCACTTTGCTGTACAGCGAGAAGAAAGTCTTCTACGGAGTAAGTGATTCAATCGTTCTTTCCCTTCGGCGCTAATTAATCTTTCGAACTTACAATCTCAGTGTCAAACGCACAAAACCAAACAAAATCTCCACCGAAGGCGAGGTGATCTAAGAATTAAGGTTTGGCCAGGGATTTCTGAACTTCACGGAGTAGCCGCGATAGTTTTTCTCTCTTTCGCTCTTCAAGAACTTCTGCACGTACGTCAAATTCTTACAGAGGTGTTACGGAATTTTGTCATTTAGCTGTAGTGACGTCACAGCTGATTATCTCCTACGGAGTGTTATTCCGTTGCCAACCCACAGTTGTTTATGAGCACGGACGCGTACAAGTAATCATACATTCATATTTCAATCGATTAAGCTTTACCTCTGACTGCGTAACATGGAATTTGACCTTGTCTAACTGAGATAATTTGAATTTTCAACGTAAGCCGTAATACTTGAAATCTGGCGCATATCCAATATCTCCATCCGGTTGGCCACTGAGCGTATCATAGTAGAGTTGATATTGCTTGTCTTTCAAAATACGGCGTGAAGGCGAATTTGTATTAACAGAAAGCAAAACAATACATTTACATCACACAAGACTGTGTCACAAGACATCTGACCCAAGGCTAGAAACATTGTTTTTAGAATAAAAGTCTTGATCACATTAACACTTGATCAAAATCAGAGATCTAATATAGCAAAGGTTTCCAAAGGGAACTAATTATGCGAACAAAGCAATCAATAGAACTTTTACAAAATTATTGTTTCTTTTAAAAGTTTTTTTACAATTAAAAACCCACCTACTATCAAGAGAATGAGTTTAAATGAGCTATATGAAGGCAGTTCATGAAAAGCTGCACGAGTAGAAGAAACTAGATTTTTGAAGCCAAAATAATATTTAGGAATTGGAAATGGGTATTCCAGAAAAGTGTCACCTAAAGAGATTATGCTTAGTCGCAAAAAATCAATTGGCAAATATACTTCCTAATCCTTTTATCTGTTAGGATGGAGCGGATTTCGCTCATGTTCTAAGAAACACCATAGTGATCACAGACTCAATCACTCCAACGGGGCAAAGCCCTGGAGTTAACCAGTGAAAATCAATTAGTTGCCAAAAGCATCTTGTTTATTCACTTAGCATTAAGGAAAAAAAAACAAAAAAAAACACTAAGCATGACAAACTATAGCTTCTAGGACTTTTTGGTACAAAACAACGACGACGACAGCAACAACAAAAACATCAACAGTGAGCACAGTTTCCTTTTATTCCCTATGTTCAATGTATGTAATATCAAGGCTTTCATATCAACAAGCCTCACATGCCAAACACACACTGACTGATAAACATACATACAAGCTGACATGCCCGCTTCCAAACAGGCTTGTTGGGATGAAAGTCTCATTGTTTTTTCCCTAAATCAATACATATATGCTTATATGTATATAAGAAAAAAAAATTAAAGACTTCGAAAGGCACAAATATCATATACTTTGGTAGTAAATGTTTCACTGGTCAGGGCCTCATCAGTACAAAGTTATGCATACTAAGGCTAGTTAAATTTATACAATAGGCTGCTAGGGTTCGTTAACTTGAAGTGTTACTCTATTGTTAGTGTTCCTCCTATTCATCCACCATTCATGATTGACATGTTTGCTTCATTGCATCTCTTAATTTCAAGAGCCTTGATCATCTTTCTAATGTAAAAAACATTAATGTTAGGATGTAGAATTTCCCATAAGACCTTGTTGAGCATGGGTCTTTTGCTGTGGTTGGCTAGATGTGGCTAGATGACAATAGACTGTTTTTTTTTATTCATTCATAGGTTAGGAAGCCCAAACCAGCAAAACATTTACTACCAAAGTATATAATATTTGTGCCTTTCATGGTACCATGCCTTGGTTGATATATATATAAAGTGTAAAATTTTGACTTTTGTAACACAGTGCTCGATACATAGGAGTAGAGCATTGTATATATTGTGGGAGGAAAAAGACAAATAAACTACAAGTTCATCCCTACAGACCTTTTTCGTGATGAACTTGTAGTTTATTTGTCTTTTTCCTCCCACAATATATATATATATATATATTGATATATAGCAAACAGTATGTGTATTACTTGATTATAACTTTTATTCTCACACAAATCAGCAAATAAACAAGGTGAGGATCACACTTTTGTCGTGGGTATTTTAAACAAATTAATAAACTTAAGTCGATCAATTTTATACCATACAAAAAACTGTTAGTACAAGTTTTTTAATTTATTTTCTATTTAATTAAAATGAAAAGAAAAAAAAATCTTGACATTTCAGAACTCTTGTATATGTAATTAAGGGTATCATTCTCAGGTATTTCTCCAATACCTTTGGTCAACATAATCAAATTATAGTGAATCTATCATTTATAACCTTTGCAGAACTTGACATTCTTCATTAAAAAATAATTAACACATTTCACAAAAACAAAGCAAAAAGCAAGCAACTATCTTTGAATTATATTCTAGCAGTAACTTTTCTATGAGATGCCAAATTCTGTCTGAGATTCTAGACCAATTTTAATGTTATTTTATCTATCAAACGGTATTCCAGATATTAATTAAAATGTTTAATGAGTGTACCTCAAATGGTAATAATGATTGAACAAAACCTGCTTTATGGTACACAAAGCATTTAGTAATCTGAAAGTCAGACATCTCTCAGATTTTGAGAGACTGACATTAAATACATTTCTTATCACAAAAAATACAGTAAAGATTTTTCCAATTTATGAGCTGTGTAGTTAAATAGTCATTTAAGGTGAAGTTATACAACAAGTACAAACAATCCTAAATTCTAAATTACTTATAACTATCCGCAAGTTTTCCTCCATTTTATACCATTCAATTCACAGTTGACAAACTCCAGCTGAGTATCAGATGCTTCTGAAGATGAAGTCAGTGAATGAGTTTTAGCTGTTACTCTGTGAAAAGGGAACAACAGGCTATAATCAGCATACATCACTTTGACACAAACATTACCATGGAATGGAATTGTCAGGAGAGGGCTCTATAGCCTATGAGATCCTTCTCCGATTTCCAACTAGTACAGGTCATAATCAGCACACATCAGCTTGAGATAAAGGTAACCATAAAAGCTAGGAACAGTCAGGGGGTCCATAGATTATATGACCCCTTCCCCTTTCCTTCTGGCATGATAGAGCAACTGGGAAACTTAGTAAGTAGAGACAGCAGCTTTGGAAAAACATTGTAATGTGCTCAATATTCATTTACATTGTATTGATCAAACATTTGACAGTGTATGGATATCTTTCACATATTTTTTTCCTGTTTTGCGAAGATCTTCATTTAGTGTCTTAATACTTAAGCATACAGTTACAGCAGCCTATATGGAGATTGAAATGACTTCAATAGCTATGATGTGCTCTCTCTGCTTGATATACAAATAACCATTTAAATTACATACGTTATGAGGAAAGCCAAATTGTATGACCAGCCACAGCAAACTCTCCTGAAATATCACAAAAAAAATTGCACTCACAAAAATGCATAAATATTGATAATAAGAGCACACAGCTTCCAAACTGGAAACAAAAAAATTAACAAATCAATTATTTTACCCAGAAAAAATCATAACATATCTACAGATCCAAAACCTGGAGAACAATGAAGAAATTCACCAAAAAATTACAGAAATTTATCAATCATTGTGTAAGATATATCTTGAAAATCAAATGATTTTACAGGATATCCAATGAGGTGTGATGGTAAAGAACAGGACAGGAGCCAACAGAAAATCAGATCCTCAAGAAAAAGTGGAAACATATAAATGATATGATAACTGAATTTCCCACTGGCAGACCTGTCTACAGGTGTAGGGCAGGCATACAATGGTGAGAATCCTGCACAGTGTGTTCCATTTAAGGTAATTTTCAGTGCAATGAAACTTACTTTATTTTGTCTGCTTCTTTACCACTGTACCTTGTTTCCACAATAAATGTGTGCTACATGGGAAAGATACACAACATAGTGACTACTTCATAGCAAACAACACTTTACTTAAGTGCTTGAAAAAGTATATGTAAAATATTAATTTACTTCTATTAAAAAAATACTTGTAGTTGTAACCAAGGAAACTCATTAGAAACTCAATAGAGGTTTTTCTTTGGCATATTAAATATGAAATAAATCCTCTGATCTATGAAGTTTAAGGAACACTATCTAATCCTGTGTTCAACTCTTCAACTCCCAGGATCCAATTGTAAATTCTCCCAACTAGCTGCTAAGCATTTCCTTGTAAATTAGTTACAAGAATTTGGTGTTCTATCAACGTAACAAATTCAACCTAATAAGTTTGAGCATTCTCATTACCTGCTTGGTGGATAAAGCTTGGATATTATGGGGAGAAGTTATATGCTAATTGCTTCTGGGAGTTGAAGGGTTAAATCAAAACTTCCCCCTTACTGATCAACATACATTAAGACTTGACCGTGCTGGCACTTTTATCTTCTCTAGAATGTCTGGGTCGGCTACAACATATTTATTCCAGTTGACTTGAATGTTGATGTGATCCAAGCTTGCCTCAAAAAAGTTGGAATTGTTGACTAAAATAGTGCTCTGTTGAAATTAAAAAGAAGTATTCATAATCAATATCAGTTCCACCCACTTTATTACAACATTACTTTGAATTAAATTGGATTACTTTGTAAAAAAACAGAAAAAAAGAAGACTTATGATCAAGATAAAAAAATAATGAGTTAATACATGGCTGGTGATTTCCTCTAATTGTTAGCATTAGGAACATCCTTTTCATTATGTCTATTATTAGTATTATTATTATTTTTATTTTTATTATTATAATCATTATTATCTTTATTACCATGATCATCATCACTGTTTTTGTTGTTATTATTGTCACATCAAGATTAATACTCATGTTTATTCACTCACATTTATTATGATAACAGGATCTGAATAGTTTGAGCTTGGGATGCTAATATTTTTCGGTGATGCACCAACTAATTTGATTGAAACAGTTCTCGGGAAGAAAATCACCCCAACCACTGCGCAGATTGCCAGGCAAAGGAAGACTGCTAGGACAAGGTAAAGAATACTGAAAAACAAGAAAATGCTGATCAGTATAAAGAATACACCAACAGAAAACACCTGTTTTATCTTTTCATATTGAAGTGTTTATAAGGTAATGGGTTCACTTTTTCAAGGGAATGGATCAGAAAAAAATGTCAAAGAGGTCAAGGTTTTCATGCTTGGTCAATGAGTGAATCTCTGATGTTTCTTTTTACCATCAAATCCAGCACTTGAGGAAGGCATTTGAACCCAATTTTGACCCCAAGGAATGGGGCAAAGCATTCTTCAAAAGTTCAAATGCTCAGAAGGTAGCCCAGGAGGGGAGATGTTAAAGCTTTGAATCAATTGACTCACTACTCACTCAATATCATCTTATTCATTCAAATGCTAAAGGTGGCCCTCATTTTCCCGAAACATCCATAGGGCTTGAGGTTAACCTTTACATCACTAAATCTTTGTGGCAAAACTGGTAGGACCACTAACAAATTCTTAATTTCATTCATTTCCCCTTTATTATCTGCTTCATAGATTTGCAACCCATTTAACAACATATTTCTCCCTCAACTTAAGGGTGTTTTGACCCTTTCACTATAAGCGTGATGCACTGAGTACATTGCATAATTTGAATATCATGTGCTTCCATGACATACTCAGTAAGTGGAAAATTAGAGAGTCACTGTCAAATCTCTAGCAGTGGAGATGTAAAATACACTGGCCTCTTTAACTCAAAATAAATCAACATTTTGAAAAATGATAAATCCATTTGCTTTGGCAAAGGACTGCTCAGTGGAGTTGGCACTTAAGGGATCAATACTAGACCCATTAATAATGATGGTGAAGAATAGATCTGAGATTAGCAGTGTTCTCTGTATAATCACAACTTCATACTTTTTAGTTCTTTGGTAGTTCAAGGTTGACAGACCTTGCTGCGTGTGTGGTTGATATGGAGAAGGGAAGGGAGAGGGGAATGTTTTTTTGCACCCAAATTAACTTTCCTCTCTTCGTCTCCTCTGTATGCTAGCCATATACATAGGCCTCTTTACCAGGGCAGTTATTTTTATCATCTATGACAATTAAAAAACAAGATAATTTTTTCTTTTACATCCCCAACCAAGAAGGAAAACATTACATGAATGCCCAGAAGGAGTCCTTAAATAATGCTGCTGACCAGTTGAACGCCAAAGCTAGAGGCTTTTATCTACCTTGCAAATTATCAAAAAAATTCTCCCTTTTCTCGAGTTTACAAGCACTGCTCTCTAGGCTCTGCTTTACCCTCAATCCTATGTTCTAAGGTGTTTTGTATTATCTGCGCATAGCACACTGAGCTCTGCGTCCTTTTTTTTAAGGTGTTTTTGTATTATCTTTCAAGGAGAAGTAATATCATGATATAAAGTGACCTACGTTCTTCTTGGCTTGAGTCGTCTGTCTCTCACAGGAATAAGTGCTACTAAGTCATGTTCTTGCTCTAAATGAAAATTTAATCAAATTAATTTTTACTTTAGATTATTTGGGTCTAGTGGGCAAGTTACTGATTTCTTTCACTGATAACATAAACATACCTATACCCAATGTACTCTTGAAAGAATTATAAGTTACACTTTTCCTTGAAATATTACCCTTCCGTCTGCTGTATTGGACCAACATAATTATTTACTTTCACATGTAGAAATGAAAAATATTAACCATCATTCACTATGATAATTATGGAGGAAACCGCAATGTTTAAGATACTAAGTCGAAAATTTGGGGCTTGACAAAGTAAGGCTCAACACCATCATGCGAAAATGAAATAATTCCAAATGCAAAAGAGGTGGAAAGTTTGGGTGCATGTACAATCAAAATGCACTCCGTGCCTTCTTGGTACTACCTACGACGAGTCGTATTTCTACACGGTCTCCATTTCACAATCTCCAGAATTTCAAGTAGTTCTGTGCATCCAAGTTTAACTTAAGTTTGATGGATAGTAACAAACTGGGAATATGATATCCATATTTATCTAACAATTACAATATAATCAATTAAATATAAGTTCACTAAATAAGTTACAGTAAATGATAAACTAATAAAATCAGTCATTAACTCGTGATTACGAGTCACAATTTCCTTCCTGGCAATCTAAATTGCATCACAATCACTCATGAGAAACATGCTTTTATCAAATCAAAGCAGCTAACCTTTTGTTAGTTTTCCAGATCCACCGCAAGTTGGACATGTTTGTGTGAAATTTCCCTGATCTGAAGCAAAGTTCACTGGAGTCGTGCTGTCGAATGCTTCGTAACTATACACAGAACTAGATGGCCGCTCTGATACCTGACCATTCGTGGAGATATTCCCATCACTTGTAGGGTCAGACAGGATGTTTTTTTCAAACGACATTGCTCTCTGCCGCTCGAAACTCCGGAGCGAGCTTAACATATCCCAGACAGGTTTGTTTCACAACTTACGTGGACAGCGGCTGTTCTTCGTTACATCACTTTGCTCAAATAAGTCTGAGTAAAGTATCTTAAAGTACCCATGATCCCTTGAAATACGCCTCTTGTTACAACTATGGCGGCTTCCTCTAGTCTTTCGAGATTGAAGGTACATGTAATGTTTTTCTAGTTTTTTCTCCCTTTTTTCCTTAAGATTTGGGATTAAAAGGATACCAGAGTAATCAGGTTTGATTTATATCATCTTATTAGACAGTTAGACAGTCAAGAATCGGATTTTACAGTCACAGTAAGCGCTGCAACTCAATCAGACATTAACCCCTTGGCGCATTTTCCAGCGTCATTTGAAGTCAAGGAAAACAAAGGAAACTAGTGAGTAAGCTTATTTCACTTAAGCTTACTCGTCAAACCGCTTTCTCACTAGATTTCTTTCTCTCATTGAGCGACCACCATGCAATTTTGAGTCTTGTATCTCACAAAGTGGTGGTAGGAGTGTCTTAAATCCCTTTTCACGGTCATCTCTTAGGCAAGTGTGATTCAGATTCGTTCACCCAAGTTACTGTATGTGGTGAATCTGTGTGTGGGTTAGGTTCAGTGTTGCAAGAATGTGACTGGTCTGGGAATAATCAAACACTTGTTATGATCTCACTATTTTTTCCCTTAAAATGATTGCACCATCCACCCCTAACACTGAACTGCCAACATGGATCAAACTGAATGTGTGTATTGCTCACCATTGGTGGGGTGTGTATCATTCATTCTGACACAGATAGGTGATAAACTACATGTACTAATATGGGAGCAGGAAACAAGAATCCAAAGATAAATTGCAATGTAGGAGGTCTCATAGTTTGCCCTGAATTTGCAGGTGTTTCAGCCATTTGTGGGCTGTATGAAGAACAACCTCACTGTTTTAACCAAATTACAGGTAAGAATTGTTTAAAGAACAGGTCTCTACAATATATCGGTGCAAAATCTTCTCAAAGTTTTAATAATATGACTGAACCAAAAGAATGAGACTTCAATCACACAACCACATGAGACATTCAGATTATCAAGATTGGTGTATTTGCTGTAAATGCAAAATACCCCATCATAGGAAATTTTTTTAGTGCAGATGTAGAGAAGTTTGCTTTGTTTAAAATATTTTGGATCAGTTTGATTTTATTTCCCTTTGTCTCAGATTATGATGATAAATGAAAGATAGATATCACTCAAATTGGTATGAAAAGTTGTAAACCCAGGAAATATCTTTGAAGCACAACATATTTATGTGTAATGTTATAAACTGTTCATATCGTGCTGTGCTGATCTAATTTTTATTGTCATGTAGTCAGTTGCAGTTCTAAGACGGGGATACATTGCTTTGGTTACAATTCTAAAAGTGATGTACTGTCACACTTTATTTGTATAATATGTCAAATGACTAGGGGTGGTTATGTCATCAATTCATGTCCATGAATTACTTAAAAAAAAAAAACTCTTGCATGCAATTGATTGCTCTTGTAGGTCCCAAATGTGTTTCCTTGCTGTCATCGTGCCACAAAGACACCTCTTCCTCTACGTTATAAGTACATGGACCGATACCATTATGGAATCTACGCCAAGCAGCCTGCACTGGTGAAAGACTGCGCACTGGAGTCAGCCCGGCTGGCCATCGTGCGTGCCACCAAAACTAAGGAATTGTACATCGTGACAGCAGACATACCAGTAACCAGAAAACCATTAGGGAGCAAAATGGGAAAAGGAAAAGGCAAAGTCGATCATTATGTGGCAAATGTTATGGCGGGAAAAGTTCTCTTTGAATTCAATTGTGACAATGAAACCCAAGCCTTAGAAGCTTTTAGGCAAGCCACGCACAGGTTGCCAATGCGCACACATCTGAGAGTGAAACCTTCCGGGAAAAAAACAATATGGACTAATTTTTGAGATGCATGTGCAATGCTTAAATTATACATGGCCACCTTAAAGACTCTCCCTTGAGGAGGAACGTTTAACTAAGAAGCTTGCCATTTCTACTCATGAATTTTTTTCCAAGAATCGCATACAGGTTACACAAACTAAAAGTAAAGGTGTCTTGTAAGATGAATGTTGACATCATGCCTTGTTGACAATTTTGAAAATGCGTTCAGTTGTACGTTTGAAACAATGTTTTCCATATGGGAATGTGGGAGCAGGAGAATACAATCGAATATAACGAGATTATTCTGTACGTCGGAGTAAATTAACAGCTGAAGCGGTGAAATTTGATACGGAGAATTCTGTGTTGTAGCTGGAGGATCCTCTGATCGGCGAAGCCAGATGAAGAACCTCAACAGAAGCTCAATTTTCGTCGTTGTAGGTACTGAGACTCCGGGCAATTTATCCAGAACTTCTTTCTAAAATTGCACAATTAAACTCAAGATGTTAACCATTTTACCTTCTTTAAAGTAATCCTTTCAAAGATTCACGCGACGGCAACTTCCGTCAGGTTGTCGAAAGGTCAGTCACCACCGCCGCCAACAGTCATTCACGGGCCCACTCTCACCCGGACGATCAAACTACACGGTCAAATGTTGTTTTTTTATATGCTTTTCCGTTGAGATATGGAGAAGCAAAAAGTAATCCTTTCTATTGGTGCCAAAGACCCATCTTAAAATGGCTCTTGTTTTGTTTTGTTTTTCTTTGAATGAGAGGGGAAGGTGGAATTTTACTGACAGGCTTCAGGAATATACAAGGTTCGCGAAATGAAGGATTTTCGGAACAACTGAGTTCGGGAACAGCGCACTCTCTGTCATAACACCGATCGTGTTGACCAACATGAGACCAAACAAACTGTGAGGAGTGCATGGTTTAGTGTGAAGCGTGATAACTGGCGTAGGAAACGGTGCGTGTTTTTAACGCGTGCGTGTGGAGCGTTGCGAGTGAAAAAGAGCGCAGTCTTACGCGCTCCCAGCAGCTTTGATATCCTACCATGGTCTTTAATCATGTTGTATTTATCAGTATTATTATTCAAGTATTATTATTATAATTATTATTATTTGTACCAGTCATTTCTTTTTTTTCTTCAATTGCGAGGAGCTAATAGAACATCAGCCCTCAAACTTTGAAGGATCTGTTCTTGTGATTTCAAAAGATCGGGAAGAGTTATTTCCTCAAGTGCAACTTTCAAACAAAATTTTTATTATAAAACTTGCATTCAAAACAAGCAGGAAACAAACAAACCCACGTGGATGCCTCAATAACTGTGGAATAACTCATTTGAATTTTCAGCGTAACCATTCACAACAGGGTTGAAAGTCTGAAACACCTGCGACAACGTACGATGAGATATATACTGGCTACGGTGAAATTACTCCCTGATACTGAAGCACATTCGTTAAGATTTCATTACTCGATACACTTTCCTAGGATTGTGTCCTATACCCTGGTTTACCAACAAACATGCTTGGTCAATATTAATAGAGCAATAAATTTATGTACTAGAATCTCCTTTTATTGTGGGATGTAACATTGGATTGCTACACTTAGAGCTTCCTTTCCTTTCGTTATTGCAAAGCAATGTGTCTCCAAGATCAGAGTACGCAACAATTTTGTTTTTGCGAGAAGTATTTAGTCTCTCTGTTATCAGCCACATGGAATGGAAACGATCTTTATATGCCTTGTGGCTTTTTTTTCTTTCCGGTTCTGTTTTAGCAGCAGTAACAGCTGGCACGGTTCGCTTCTTCGAACAAGCAACCAAGAGAGAGCTAATTTGACTAATTAAAATCTGTAAGGTCATTAGGGAACTGCTACCAAGTAAAAACAATCCGGTCAAGGGTAGAAAAAGCACATGTCCTGATCTTATCGCTTTTGATTTATTTCGTTTTTGCCCAGTAACGGCCACAGTTTGTTGATTTTGGCGTGAAATGTCCACTTGAAGTTAACTGTCGGAAGCCCTTTGCATTGTCTAACAGGATCCATGCTTGAACGATTGTGTAAAGCCGTCCACCTTGGCTGCACTTGCTGAAATGCCGAAACAATACCACCTAAATATGGATGCTTTATGCAGCTCCATGTGAAGAAGTGATTATTACTAATCACCGATGATTCCATCGTACCTGTGCAAACTTGTACAAGACTGGTGATTAGACAAAAAAGCTTAATATCGATCAGAAAATGTGATCAGCTATCAATAGACAAATAATTAGGCGCTAACAAGCTAGCTAATTAGCTAAGCATCCACTCGGAGATTTGAGGAAGTCGCTTATTCCCTTGCGATCCGGATATGACATTTAGATTGACAAAGAAAGTTTGCAATGAACTTTTTTTGTTGACCAACACGTGCACGCAAGAGTTTGTTTGAAATGGCTTTCGCAGTGCCCTGTTGAGGCAGTTTAGTGTTCGCACCTGTTTCATAATAACTCGCAATAAGACTTAGTTGAAACATTTCCGACCTAGATCTTATCTACTTAAGCCGTTATTAAACTGGGATTTTTTTTGTCGCAGCACCCAGTGTTTTTATCCTGGAGCACGCCGTGTTACGACAGCTATTGGACAGGTGATCGATTGTTCATCGACCCACGAGAAAAGCTTCTTACCTTTAGCCTCACTCGCCGATTGCCGTTTGTTTATTGAATCCTTTTACTTATAAACATGCAATTAAGCAGGCAGGTGTAACTATATAATGAACACGGCACGTGTTACTGAGACCACCAAGATTTCTAACTGAACCTGCTAACTGTGAATACATGATTTTTCTAATCGATTATCTTCCTTCTCTCCATTTCTTCTCTCGGCAGAACTAAAATCATTCATATGATTTTACATGTATTTTAATAGTTGACCTCTGGGCACAATAAATATAGCCGCTACAGAATAAATGAAAATCGCGCCAAATTTACCTGTTTATAATTTAAAATGACTACCACCAGAAAATCGATCGCAGTTAAAATATCTGCATTCTCGACAAGTTTATTTAGCTGCTAGAAAAGTGGGTCTTTACTTAGCAATAACCAGCGGAAATACTTTTAAACATTTATTTACTCACAGGCCGAGTTGCAGGGACAACATCCATTAGTTCACAAAAGCAATTTGTCAGCTTGACATCAAAAGAACGTGCTAAGATATTCTCGATAAATTAAACTGAAACTGTGAAAGAGGATCGAAAAGGAATTTAAAACTCATTTAGATGAAGTGATTTACTGAGAACAAGCACTGTCAATCTGTTTTTAAACACAAGAACAACATTCTAGGGGAAAAAAAGCATAAAAGCATGAGTAATCTTTTTGTTGTTTCATTTGTTGGTTTTTTTTTTCTTGCGAGTCTTGATTCAGACCCACTTCGTTAAATAAAAAAGACATTCTCCATTTTTAATACTTGAAATAATAAACATAAATACTCACGGTTTTTCTTTTTGATACATTTCGTATTTGATTCCCTCGTGCAGCTAGTTAAAGCATAATGTGTGTAAAACTGTTGCTGTTTTTTCCCAATTAATCTATTACCTATTACCCGGCTATGGTTAACTGACCGTTACCAGAGCCATTCACATTTCATGCTTCCTTTCGAAATGATTGTCACGTCAGTAAGAAATCGATTTCTACTGTTTTCAGTTTCCATGTCATCAGTTGTAGGCTTTTTTGCAGACGGAAGCCTGGACATGCAACAAAATATCAGGTTGAATGGTCATAAAAAGTCATGACGATAATCAAAGTGCAACTGATATGAACTTCTTTCTTTCTTTCGTTCAATTGGTTGAGTAATCTCACACATCAGACAAAAATGACTGCTCTCCAAAAACAAGAAGAGACACGAGTGCACGATTTCTGATCTTCAGTATGTGCCGTGTTCCTAAAATTGATAATGAGCTAAAACTCAACCTCACCGAGAAATAAAACTCTAATTTATCTCATTATTTTTTCCTCAGGAAACCCGGCAAAGGTACATATGTATTCTGGTTTGTTTTTGGCGAGGGGCTCGTGGTTGCACCTCTTGAAGTTCATATGAAAGACACTAAGAATTAAATTGGCTCAGAGAAGATACGGTGCTCTAGTTGCCTTACGTATATACTTAAAAAATAAATTTCAAAGGAATTTTCACGAGATTCACCGTACGCGATAAAGACAACACAAAAAAAAACAATATAAAGTTGTTTTCTTTATTGCATTAGTCTCAAAAAACCAAAGTATGAATCAACCATGAGTAAGAGTCTTAAATGGATAGGAATCATACATATATTAAAAATAAAACCTGATTAGCAGAAGTTACGAATGTGGTTAAGAATATAAAAGATTGACGGAGATTGTAACTAAGGAGCGTACAAACATAACGTAGCTTCTGTGCGGAGTGGAAATTCACTTTTTTTTCAAAGCAGTTCTTGAATCTTTCGATCAAGAGCTCAAGTACCGATGTAAAATAAAAACTGACCTATATTGGCCTCAGGGGTAAACTCAGTAAGCTATGTCTACCGAAGTCATCTGTTGCCATAGGAGCTCGTCTCAAGCCAGGCTAGAGTTAACAGCGGGAAGGCGAAGACAATTGTTCTTCTCTCTGCAGTGCTGCGATAGTTTCTGAATCAGTTGCTACGAAAAACAATCTTGAGAAATAAAAATAAACTCCACAACTGACTAAGAGAAGAAATTATGAAAGAAAATGATTCGATATACTGCTTTTCTTTGTGTATTTTAAGAACATACGACGTCCGGTGCTTCAGAAACTCTGAACGTCCGCTTGATTACGATTTTATGACAATGTAACGCTATATGCAGTAGAGTAATTTTGGAAATTGAGAGAACTATAGACTGGATCTTTCCATTACACTTGAACTTAACGAGTCTTGAGTTTCACTGCGTTGCTCAAAGTTTCCTTTGTTTTGCTTTTTTAATTTTTTTGTCTCAACCACAAACTTTTATTACACGACATAGAATCATGTGTATAGAGAGATTCCATTACTTTTCTACGTACTAATGAATTTGTAACTATTGCGAAAAATTCCTCTCAACTTGAAATTACTTCACGACGTGATCATACATCACTTGAAACTCAACAATGTCTTGATGTTCACATGTTCTTTTCACAAATTTTCCCGCAAACTGTTCAAGGTCTTAATTCAAGCCTTTGTTCATTGTTTATTTTTACCCCTGCCGATGCTTTTTAAGAAGTACAATTATGAAACTAGTAACGACGTTCAGAAACCCTTCAGCATTGTCCACTTTACTGACAAATGCACCTCGAGATAAAGGATCTTTTGTCGATCAGGCGACCGCAATTAACTGACTGTTCGGTCGCTGGGGTATCGTACAAAAGCATTGAATAAACAGGCAAACATAAAACCGTGGGAAAGTTTGCCATTTTTAAATTATGTACATTTTAAAAAGTTGTTCCTGTATCGGCATTCTTCTGAAAGAATTTACTAATAACGCGCTGAGCTTATCTTGAATTTCGAAATGGTTCATATCAATGCTATTACTTTGCTTTTGTCACTAATGCGTCCGGCTCAACACACTTCAAAAAGCATGTCAGTCAATAATGTTCTACAAGAGACCCGATTCTTTTTGTTTTGCTCAATTCCATTGTTCAGAAGTGGCCTGCCCTTATTTACTTATCTTGGATTTCTAACACGCTTCGTTCGTCTGTCCTCTTTAGAGCAGTGCTTCAGAGATATAAATGCTCTTTCCTAATTGGTTGGTAAAACAATACATTCTCATTTTCCTTTTTACGACACGTGCATCGCATAGGGTAGCATAATGCGCCCGTTCTCTGGCCAATGAGCGTTGTAAGAATTACTTGGTCAGAATATCATTTATTTTCATGTATTTATATATGAGTCATAGCCTTACATACAATAGTAGGTTGTTATTCACCAGCTCTTCGACTTCTTACCTTTGTTTTTTTTTCTTTGAGAGGTGTAATGAAGCGTTCTTTTAGTGAGAGTGATTCAGACGAGGGATATCTTTTTGTGCAAAAGTAGGTTATTTTAAGATTAAAAAAAGACCTCCGATTCTGTTCTTGATGCGCCTTATAGGATTATTAATAGTTTTATTATCTATATTTCATCCAAGTTCCGATGCACCCGACAACGAAAATTCCGAAGTAAGTGCTCGGAAGAGACGTCGAGGGGTAAGGAAAAATGTTTAGTTAATTCATGTTTCAAGAGTAAGAAAACAAAATTTAACGATAGGGAAAAATGCTCAAAATCGTTTTTTATCGACAGCAAATTGAGAAGAAACGGCGAGATCGCATAAACAGCTCTCTCGCAGAGTTGCGACAACTGGTGCCTGCTGCCCTTCAAAAACAGGTGAGTGACTCTACTCTAAAAATTAGCTTGATGCTTTCACTGTAAACGATAAATGTTGCAGCAAGACTAAGTGGAAAGGCTTTATAGAATTGACCCAGTAATGGTACGTATCCACGGTCAACGACTGTCAGTTTATTCTTCGCCTCAAAATTATCCCTCTTGACATTTCTTGTGTAGGAATCCGAGGGGAGCAATATCGTGTCATTTATCACTTTACTCATCTATTAATCTAGTACAAATTTACTTTTAAGGGCTCGACAAAGCTGGAAAAGGCAGAGATCCTTCAGTTGACTGTGGAGCACTTGAGAGGTTTAAAATACGGCGCTGAATATAACCCAGGTTAGAGATCATTATAAACATGAACGGCAACTTGTTAAGAACATTGCTCTCGCAAGAATAACAGCACTTGGAGAGAGGCCAGAATTTTTAAGGGCTTTTAAAACGCACATGGCTGATAAAAGGTCATAGAATATGAATGAGACCACAAAACAGGAATTTGAGAAGCGTATAAGCTACGTAAGAAAAGCAGAAGTTTCTTAGAGTGTTTGTAGTCGGCTGCGCAATCAACAGAAGCGAATACGCGAGATATAATTTGCCTCTTTCTCGTGGTTTTCACACAGTATATAAGTATTACGATGATAAACGCAAAGGATCAATACGGTTTAATTACAAGAGCACAAATCTATATCACTCACCGCTCGTCGTGCGGAAGGATTGTGCTTGCTTTGCTAATGTACTCTGAGCACTCATGTATATTCATCTGATCTTTCACCCACAGGTTTTACTAACACGCGCCCAATTGATGAGCGCATACCAAGACGCCAGGAATGCATGGCCGAGGGTAAGCCATGCTTGTCCGCCTTGACAGAAGGTTCGGAAACCGCATGCATGTCTCCTGCAAGGCGGCAAATCACAAATCATCTCAACTGGAATACTTCATTACAGAGCGGTTACCACTGCGGTCCGAGCCCGCCAAGTACGACTACAATAGCTTCAGCATTGAAAACTGAATCAAACTTGTCAGCACCTTGGCAAAGTTCAAGTGCAATTTTATCATGCGTTAAACAGGATGTTCACGACAATTTTCAAAAAGACCAAGATCAAGTGTACAAGGGAAAAGATTGGCGTTTATCTGTAGCTCTGAACTACCCCATAATTCTTCCAATTCAAGCACCGGGTCTTTCTAATGTTCTGCGCTCCCCGTTAGGAGATACAGTACCTTTGATTGACTTGTCGATGGCCTTGATAACGAAAACCAACATTTCTGCCCCTTTCAAAGCCCCTTGGGCGCCATAAAGCGAAATGAAGCGAAAATAGGTTGGCGTTGGAAAATGAGAAATTATTCATAACAACTCTAGTTCACTGTCGCGAAAACAAAGTCTATGATTAACGCATAAACACTGCTCAACTTTCTTCTTTGTTAGACCAAGAAGCTGACAAGAATAATTTACCCCGATAGGTAAACTTGAACAAAGAATCGTTTCTAAAAGAAAAAGGGATTATTTCTTTTAGAAATTTAATTGAATGAAATTCGATGAAAAAGAGTACATCGATATTAGAGAACCTTTTTGTTTGCTCTTAATCAACTGTCAGTTAAACGTTTAAGTAAACACATTTTTTCTCTTTTTGGAGGAATTAACTTTGATTGCATGTTACTGATGTCTGCTTCTGCGGCTGATATTTTGTATAACAATTAAAGCATTACAAATATTTCCCATTTCTAAAACCACCGGCTTTTGTGGGATAACAGACAAAATATTTCAGTCTTAGATAATACGAGTAAGATGAACGAAAAATCTTGCCTAGGGGGATATTGCTTAATATTGACACGTGCGCTAAAAATGGCCTTTGTATCAGTCAGTCTGTGCGCATTCATCAGAAAAAATGTGCATTTAAATTTTTTGTATTTTCCCTTGCTTGAAAAGTTGTTCATTAAATAATGGCCCTTGCAGCTCTTTGTTTGCTGTCTGTGGGTTGTGGTTAAAGATCGAAAGAATGCGTGCATTGGGCTTTAGAATGTTCTACAGAGGCTTAACTCACATCTCTAACGATGCAGGCTCAATTGTGATCCAGTCGCGTGGTTATCAGAGAAACTCAAAAGTCCTATTGCTCCCAATTCAACCATACCTCATGTGACGTTGTTTAGATACAAGGCATCATACACACTCGTAAGAAAGTGTAAGGTAAGCAAGTGCTCACTTCTCCTTCCATTTTTACAATATTTCCAACGGGCGGGTAGTAAGATTTTTAAGCTTGATCATCCAATGCTCGGCAGCTCTTATCATTGGTGAAAAAAGTATTATAGTTGGTTTGTCGTATGATTCTCCTGTTTTCCGACATCCAGATTTATTTCAGTCGACTTAACATTGGTCAGAATGCCTATTGTTCTTACGACATTTACTTGCAGTGGCGAAAATATTATAGATCTATAATATTGGGAATAATTCTTAAGTTCTTCAAGTCTTTCAGTTTCAGTTTGCGTAGTTGTGAGAGATTTTATCCCGTATTGAAAGAAGATTGGATCAACTGAGCATGCGTGGATGAAAGCACTTGATTGATACCGAGTAGACTTGCATGAAGGAGGGGTGGGGGAAGGAGTGGTGACGAGTTATTTTGTAGCATATGTTTCCTTTTTCCTAGCTTTAGAGCAGAAAACAACTTTACCCCGTCTATGCTTATTAAAAATCAGATCCATGGAACAGTTTCTAAACGGAACAGATTTCTGCGTCGGGTAGGTTCGAGCAAAGAGGCGGTTTTCAGTTAGCTTATTTCTTCAAAAAAAAAAAAAAACTGGAAGGATAAGTTCAATATTCCCATCCTCACGGAAGCAAGAATGAATTGAGATCGGATGCAAAACACACCCTCTGTTGAATCTCTTCATAGTCCCTTTGGTCGCCTTCCTAGTTCTGAACAGAATTAAAATAGAAACAATTTCAAGATATGATAACGAAAAAGATTATCTTATTAAACTTTGGCCTCCCCTTAAGGACAAAATTGGATCGCTTCATATATGCTTTTGTTTGTGGCAAAAGAAGTCAAAGCTGATTTTAATCTTGTTGCGTTACATTGGATGATTCATGTCACGCAACGTTCGTGATGATATGAATTCCAGGTAATTCTTATTTTTTGCTTCCTCCAAAGCCTCCAGTTACATATCTCAGTGGCTGAAGCTACAGATAATTCTTTTAATCTGAACCTTTAAGAACCTAAATCATCGAATTAGGAAAAGATTTTCATTGTTTGGAGATTTCACGAGAGCATGCTCTCATTGGCGAGGTGATTTGCATATTAATATCGCCTGCGATCGCTTCAAACAAACATGGCGTGTGTTCCGTTATTATTGCTATTGCTGGAATTCTTCGTGCTTGCTCCGTCGCCATGTTTTGCTCAGTGTCCGAAAAATTGCCAGTGCACACAACAAGGAATTACTGGGTCTCCGAGTTTTAAGAAGACTGTTGATTGTTCCGCAAAACTTGGCGGATTAGAAGTTGCTCCTAATGTCCCCACAGACGCGACTCACTTGTAAGTGAACACAGTTTATAAATTTCGCTCATTAATATTTTAAGCTTTACTTTACTTTAACTGTTAGACGCTTAAAGAGAATATTTACAATTTCTTATTATTGTTTGGTTCGTATTCCCGCCAAGGAGATTAGATCGTGTTCTTGTTCGTTATTCGATCTTTGAGCTGTGGATCTGAAGTAGCAATATATTTCCGCCTTACTCACAATATATCAACGACGAGTAACCTATCAGACAATTTTACACAGTAATCTTCAACTGATCTTAGGAAACACGTTGGATTTCCATGCTTCATTAATATCCTGAACATGTCATAACCTTGTGGAGGTTTGTTGTAATGGTTTCCTCTGGGGAAACGAGTCGTAACAACGCGAATGTAAATGATATTTAGTTGTTCCGAAGGTCTTTTATTGTGCCTGTGGTTACGTGGTTATGTATGGAGAATCCCCCCCAAAAAAATAGACTAAGTTTTAAGTCACTTTGTGAAAATGATAAATAGCGATAAATGAGGTTAAAGACAGTAGGGCCTCGCTCCTCGATCGAAAGGACGCAATGAATGACAACCGTTCACTGTAGCGTCTTTTTCGTGTATTGAAATCTACAACTCGGGGAAAATTGTCGAGCTTGTTAATTTCTTTCTCCATTGTCACTGATAAATCGGTTGCATTTAACAAGGGTCGAATTTTTGGATCGTTGAGCATATATTTTATGGTGCTTGGGTTCATACTTTGTTTTTCAGTTTGTTTTCATTTCTCCTTGGTTTGCATTTTTCATTCACACGTAGAGTCTAATTGCATGCTCTCGTATTGACGTGTCTAAATGAGATTTTAGTGACACCTTAAATCCAGCTGGGCGCTATAAATTTTGTTACTTTTTAAGTGTCATAACGCCAACAAAAAGCGACATTGGAAGAATAGCTCCAGTAAGCTTATCATTCTCAAAGTCTAATCGAATGTTCCTGAGGTCAACACTTCGCTGTGACCTCTAAATTATTTGCAACTTCCTTTTGACAAAAATTTAAAACATCACGTTCATTTACAATATCGATAGTATTAACCCGCTTTGCTAAATGTGCAAAATCGGCAGCGATTTGTGTTTTGTGGCAAAATTGCTTATCCACACCAATCCTCCTCATTCTTCAGATTTTTTCCCTAACCGTAAGTTTTTGTCAACAAAACGTTTACATTTCACATGCAATGTTCCGTGCGAATGGATTTAGTAATGTACTTCGTTTTGCGAAACCCAATATCGTCAGCCTTTCATCATGGAACATTTACTTCTATACATTTCCTTCTAGTATTGACGGACATCATCTATTAGTGATTATAAGTTCGATTAAATGACACTTGTTGTACAGCCTGCCGTGTATTGTTCTGTGGTGAAAGAAAGAACGTGATGAACTATCAACAGAAGGCTCTCGAAAGAGAACGCTCGAAGATAGATACGATCGAAGAAATGTTGTTGAAAATCAATATAATTTCATTTTAGTTGCTTTTATTTTCGGCGAAATTGCGTCATCTTTCAGCATCCTAATAATATTTCATCATACAAAATATTGGCAAATGTAGTCTGTGGTGTTGCGTGACCTTAGTGTAGTACAATCGAACATCCTTACAGAAAGTCGCACTTCGTTGATAGCCGAATTATAAGAATAAAAAGCATAGTTTTCCGGAAAATTTAAAGAAATTTTACTTTTACTCCACGCGTTGCTTGGTATAAATATTTAGTTACCGTAATGATCCCTCACACTGGGACATAATAACCCCAGGATAAAATCTGTCAATTTATTTTGAACTCGCTGGTGACAAGAGGCACGTACAAGGAGAGAGGTTGCAATCGCAAGCATTTCCAGTGCCTTTTGGATGTTTAATAGAAAAGAAAGCTCTAAAATCAAGTAATCTGTCAACCTGGGTTTTGAAATCGATTCAACCGACATAGTTTCGTAACTTAGAAGTCACGTGGATAAGTGTTTACACGGAACCAAATCCAAGTTCAAGTTATTTGCATTAAACTAACAGCCATTCAAACTATCCTTATTACTTATGTGAACGACGAGAAAAAGTAGCACTCGCTCAAACAGAAAAGGAATCAAAGAATGACTGTCAGTAAATGGCAGCAAGAATGGTACTCTAAACGCGAGCTATTTGCCAAAAAGTTCTTCTGATGTATCACGAGGCCTGTGGATAGTGTTCTATTTGATGAGCGATCTCTTATAAAGTGCTGAGGCAACTGGCTAGGGAATAAAACACTCGGTTATATGAGATAACTGACGATAACTGTCAGCATACCACGAGAAAAAAGTAAATAGTTAGCTTATTTGTTTCCCAATTTACCGTATTTATTCGACTAAAAGCCGA